ACACACATACACACACACACTATTGTTTACTTTTATTCTTTATTTGATTAGTTTTATTTTTCTGGTTAAATTGATATAACATGAATTTACATTTTCTATGATGATGCATTAAATATATTCCTTTATTATCTCTTCTTTTATATTTTTAATTTCACTTTATATTAATTTATTTTTTTTATATAACTTTTATTTTTTTCATTATTTTAAAAATCTTAATGACAAAAAGGAGCATCCTGATTGGCTGCTGACATTCTGAAAGGACCAATCATGTCTCAGGATTCTCGTCCTCGTCTGTGTGTTCACATTGTGTCTCTGATTGCTCTTGTCTGTTTCGGACTCTACTGCGTCACCAAGGTAACCAACTAGTGATCTCATCATCTGATCAGATATTCCTACTCATCAGAAGTATTGATTTATCAGTGAGTGACTGAACAAACTAAATGACTGGACTCTATTATTATTATTAATGTGGTCGTAATGAATGATTACAATTATGATTATTGAGTTTTAATACCATAGTTACACAACAACATCACTGAGCATAACAACCTTTATTTCTACTATTATAATGTATTTTAATGTATAGATGAAGGGATATATTGCTTTGATCACTTCTTTATAAAACATATATTAATATAGCCTGGGAACAACACGATGATTGACAGGAGAGTGTCACCAGTGCAGTGTACATCAATGTCAAACTCAGCAGTGTTGATTACAAATGAAGCCAGCAGTACAGCGATAAAAGACTTCCTGTGTTACAAGAGAAAAGGTCCGTGTTGCAACAATCCTTTGATACTTTGGTCCCGGGGACAAGGAGCAGCTCCTGTTAGACTAATTGGAAAGTGCGTCGACTGTTAGACTATTGGAGATAGTAGATAGTGTTTATACACAGATTCATGGGGAAATGCTACAGATTATACATTTAATCAGCTGACAGATACTGGACCTCAGTAGTGTCTGTGGTGGAGGGAATTCTGAACAGGTAACAGCAGGTATATCACATCATTTCTTCCTCCTCCTCCTCCTCCTCCTCCTCCTCCTTCTTTTCCCTGCAGGGAGCCTCCTTCTCCTCCTTCAGCTGGTGGTTGATCCTCGGCGCCTCCTGTCTGCTCGCCACTGCCTTCACCTCCTTCCGTCTGTATGAGGTCTGCCAGAGGGACGCTGAAGAGGAGGACAGAGGAGGAAGAGTCACCTGAAGAGGAGGAGGAGGAGGAGAAGAAGGAGTACCTACAGATGTACTGTATGAATATGTGTTTGACACCATATTTTAAAAAATCAATCAAACTTTGTTAGTATAACACCTCTCCTACAGGAGTATCATCGGCCTCTTCACAGTGTTTTTATAAGAAACTGTAGTTTCTGTTGCCATAGCGATGGATCATCAGACGGATGCATTTCAATGTTTAAAAAACAAGACAGACCAATAAAGACGATCTGAAAAAGAATATTTCTTTCTAAATGTGTTTTACTCATCAAACAATAAAACAACAGTTTATGAATTTCTTTATTTTCTCAAAGAGTAAAAACACGTCAGTTCAGCTCTTATCAAAAGTTAGAAAACTTCCTATTAAGGGGGCAGAAACAGACCCCGACTAGGTGGTGGTAATAATAATATTAATAATAATAATAATAATAATATCAGTAATATTGAGGCTCCACCAGGATCCATGAGAACCTGCGAGACGAGAAAGCAGAAGAATCGGGGGAAGAAGTTGAAGTTGGAGTAACAGTTACACAGGTTACAGGTATACAGAAGAAATGTACTTGTATTTTTTAAAGGAAGTATTTTCAGCCAGTTGTCCGCTTTCCTGCTCCTTTTCGGGTCAGGACAATCCTTTCTTGTCCGGTTCTGTTAAATATGAAGTTTAGTATCATGAGTGACACAGGACAGGCTTTTTATTCCTCCAGAAGCTTCAGGCTTGTCTTCTGCAGAGCTAACCAGATGCAAACAGCTGTCGGTGGTGCAGCCAGCAGCAGCCGTTGTCTGTTCGTCTTTCCCATAAACACTGAAACCGCCCCGGCGATGGCACCTGGACCAGGTGTGCACCCAATGTTTTCGCTCAAACCTTTAATATTTTTCAAACGCGTTCTACAAATTTTTTGGCAGTACTATTATTACTGGAGACCTATTGTGGTAATGCTTAGAAAAAAGAGTCTCTAAGATCATTGCGTGACCATAGCTTTCGAGTATGAGAACACTTCAATCGGTTTCTGTGTCTGCGAGTTTTTCTGGTTGGGCTGCCACAACATTGGTGGTGTTGATGGTGATATGAAGCCCACTTTTGCTGTTTAAATTGGGTTGGAAGCGCGAGCTTAGGCATGAGGGTCCTCAAGAAGTCTCCTGTAAACACATACGTACTTTATTTGAGAAGCAGCAGCACTGAATGGACAGCCCCTTGTCCATTTGAACATTAGAAGTTTTCTGTGTTGTTAAATGAACTTTGTTTTTTTGAAGAGATTAGGAATAATCTGAGCTCTTACGTATTCATTGAAAGGAAGAGCTGTTTGTTAACCTTCGCTAAGCCTTTCGCGCTGCAGTGGAAAGTTCACTTTGTTCACAACATTGGTTTTTGGTCGGTAGATAGCTTTTTAGGATGGTATGGAGGCCCTAGCTGATGATATTACACCGAGGCTACTTGCTAGTTGATCATAATCTGCTAGACTGTTATTCAACACGTAACGGCACCACAGAGTTGGCAACGTCCTCCTAAGTGGAATCACTTCATAGGTTACATTATAAGTAGGATAACAAATTATTATTACATGGAAGGTGGGAAGGCTTTCTGATTTATTTGTATAATTATTAAAAACTAGCTTGGACGTGCAGCTAAGTAGCGTAGTTGTGCAGAGTGTCAAACACCTTATTTTCCTGGATACACTTATTTCTTTACATTTTTAGAAATCGAGCACATGGTACAGAGGCCCATGTTTGTGTAGATAGATTGTATCATGGGTAAGTTTTCTTATTTGCCGTACTCAGTATTCACTTGCTTTTCTGACGCCGGATATTCTTGACTCCTTACTGAAGTGATCATTTTACCTAC